CCAGATTGTACCTATGTATCAATTGTATACTGGGAGATGATACAGGCTTAGTCGCCTTTATTAACAGATTGTACCTATGTATTAATTGTGTACTGGGAGATGATACAGGCTTCGCCGACTTTCTTACCAGATTGTACCTATGTATTAACTGTATACTGGGAGATGATACAGGCTTGGTCGCCTTTCTTACCAGATTGTACCTATGTATTGATTGTATACCGGGAGATGATACAGGCTTCGTCGACTTTTTAACCATATTGTACCTATGTATTAATTGTATACTTGGAGATCATACAGGGTTCGTCGACTTTCTAACCAGATTGTACCTATCTATTAATTGTGTACTGGGAGATGATACAGGCTTCGCCGCCATTCTTAACAGATTGTACCTATGTATTAATTGTGTACTGGGAGATGATACAGGCTTCGCGGACTTTCTTACCAGATTATACAGGCTTCGCGGACTTTCTAACTAGATTGTACCTATGTATTAATTGTAGACTGGGAGATGATACAGGCTTCGTCGACTTTCTAACCATATTGTACCTATGTATTTATTGTATACTGGGAGATGATACAGGCTTCTTCGACTTTTTAACCATATTGTACCTATGTATTAATTGTATACTGGGAGATGATACAGGCTTCGTGGACTTTCTAACCAGATTGTACCTATGTATCAATTGTATACTGGGAGATGATACAGGCTTCGTCGCCTTTCTTACCAGATTGTACCTTTGTATTAATTGTATACTGGGAGATGATACAGGATTCGCGGACTTTCTAACCAGATTGTACCTAGGTATTAATTGTATACTGGGAGATGATACAGGATTCGCGGACTTTCTAACCAGATTGTACCTATGCATTAATTGTATACTGGGAGATGATACAGGCCCCGCGGACTTTCTAACCAGATTGTACCTATGCATTAATTGTATACTGGGAGATGATACAGGGTTCGTCGACTTTCTAACCAGATTGTTCCTATGTATTAATTGTATACTGGGAGATGATCCAGGCTTCGTGGACTTTCTACCCAGATTGTACCTATGTATCAATTGTATACTGGGAGGTGATACAGGCTTCGCGGACTTTCTAACCAGATTATACAGGCTTCGCAGACTTTCTAACCAGATTGTACCTATGGACTAATTGTATACTGGGAGGTGATACAGGCTTCGCGGACTTTCTAACCAGATTGTTCCTATGTATTAATTGTATACTGGGAGATGATACAGGCTTTGCGGACTTTCTAACCAGATTGTACCTATGTACTAATTGTATACTGGGAGATGATACAGGCTTTGCGGACTTTCTAACCAGATTGTACCTATGCATTAATTGTATACTGGGAGATGATACAGGCCCCGCGGACTTTCTAACCAGATTGTACCTATCTATTAACTGTATACTGGGAGATGATACAGGCTTCGGGGACTGTCTAACCAGATTGTACCTATCTATTAACTGTATACTGGGAGATGATACAGGCTTCGCCGCCTTTCTTACCAGATTGTACCTATGTATTGATTGTATACTGGGAGATGATACAGGCTTCGGCGCCTTTCTTACCAGATTGTACCTATGTATTGATTGTATACTGGGAGATGATACAGGCTTCGGGGACTGTCTAACCAGATTGTACCTATCTATTAACTGTATACTGGGAGATGATACAGGCTTCGCAGACTTTCTAACTAGATTGTACCTATGTATTAATTGAGGGTTCGTCGACTTTCTAACCAGATTGTTCCTATGTATTAATTGTATACTGGGAGATGATGCAGGCTTCGCGGACTTTCTAACCAGATTGTTCCTATGTATTAATTGTATACTGGGAGATGATCCAGGCTTCGTGGACTTTCTACCCAGATTGTACCTATGTATCAATTGTATACTGGGAGATGATACAGGCTTCGCCGCCTTTCTTACCAGATTGTACCTATGTATTAATTGTATACGGGGAGATGATACAGGCTGCGCGGACTTTCTAACAAGATTGTACCTATGTATTAATTGTATACTGTGAGATGATACAGGCTTCGCGATCTTTCTTACCAGATTGTACCTATGTATTAATTGTATACTGGGAGATGATACAGGCTTCGCGATCTTTCTTACCAGATTGTACCTATGTATTAATTGTATACTGGGAGATGATGCAGGCTTCGCGGACTTTCTAACCAGATTGTACCTATGCATTAATTGTATACTGGGAGATGATACAGGCTTCGCGGACTTTCTAACCAGATTGTACCTATGTATTGATATTATACTGGGAGATGATACAGGCTTCGCGGACTTTCTAACCAGATTGTAACTATTCATTAATTGTATCCTGGGAGATGATACAGGCTTTGCGGACTTGCTAACCAGATTGTACCTATGCATTAATTGTATACTGGGAGGTGATACAGGCTTCGCGGACTTTCTAACCAGATTGTAACTATTCATTAATTGTATCCTGGGAGATGATACAGGCTACGCGGACTTTCTAACCAGATTGTTCCTATGTATTAATTGTATACTGGCAGATGATACAGGCTTCGCAGACTTTCTAACCAGATTGTAACTATTCATTAATTGTATCCTGGGAGATGATACAGGCTACGCGGACTTTCTAACCAGATTATACAGGCTTCGCAGACTTTTTAACCAGATTGTACCTATGTACTAATTGTATACTGGGAGATTATACAGGCTTCGCGGACTTTCTAACTAGATTGTATCTATGTATTAATTGTATACTAGGAGATGATACAGGCTTCGCAGTCTTTTTAACCAGATTGTACCTATGTACTAATTGTATACTGGGAGATTATACAGGCTTCGCGGACTTTCTAACAAGATTGTACCTATGTATTGATATTATTACCTATGTATTAATTGTATACTGGGAGATGATACAGGCTTCGTTTGTCTGCTGTCTTATCTTTTTATTTTGTAGAAATGTAATGACACTCCCCACACACCGCCAGGCCCACTCATCACCATATAACCGTAGAAATGTAATGACACTCCCCACACACAGCCAGGCCCACTCATCACTATATAACTGTAGAAATGTAATGACACTCCCCACACACCGCCAGGCCCACTCATCACTATATAACCGCCAGGCCCACTCATCGCTATATAACCGCCAGGCCCACTCATCACTATATAACCGGTACATTTTCAATCAGGTGTACAAGATCTTATCCCACATACCAGCCATTAACCTGCGGGTAAATTTAAGCATGAATCTGACCCAGATTTATGTGATCTTGTCTATGTCCTACTGGCAGGGATCCAAAACACTCTCCACACTAAGATGTATTTTTTACCTGATGAATATACTAACAAAACAATTCCTTTGGTTTGGAGGCTATTGTTTACCTCCTGATTCACCGTTAAACGACATTTTCAACCTGTAATCATTTAGTCAATACCCTATACAACGTAAAAAAAAATGTGCATGTAATTGTTTGCTATCTGAAAGGTTTTAAATCAGGTAATGGTTGTATTTTAAAGATACATAAACAAAATTGTGCTGACCACTGATTCAGCTAATCACCTTTTGAACAACTGGGTCCCATGCTTGCCAATTATTTTGAATTTCCATGGGGAAGATTATATGTGCTCAGAATTAAAAGCATAAATAAAATATGTGTACATGTACATCCTTGAAAAAATATCACTAAATAGCTTCTTATAAGCTATTCTGTCAGATGAAATCATCAGATCTTAGAAAATAGTTATAATTTAACAAATTCACTGGTGAAAGGCTCAATTTTAGGGTCCAAAATCAAGAGTCTCCCTCCAAAATAGGGAGAGTCGGCAAGTATGGGGTCCTGATGGTAATTATATCTTTTATAGTTATCTCCACCATTTCTACAATGTTTCTGTTATTGCCAGTGTCATATCGTTTCAACACACCTACAGGTATCACAAGATGTTAACGTTCACAAAGCAAATAAAATCCATCCCATTCAATTTCATGCTAAGTCCATTATTTGTGTATATTTTATACATTTGAAACATTGAGATCAGAACAAATAAACAATTCCACAGACATTCAGTAAATTTTGTGTTAATGTATCAAAAAACGAAACTTCAGAATTTAAAGTCTAAGTATACAGGTAATTTATATTCATGGCATAATGAAGTGAAACTGTAAATGAGCCTGGAGTCAATTCTCGTCCATAATGTGCTATTCCAAATAATTTCATTGAGTATATAACAAAAAGAATCGGAAAGTAATTGCCACAACATCTCTCTTGTTTCATAAACCTCCTGTGTGATGGGAACTTTGTTGTGACATCCTCAGTAAAGTTGTTAAAAAGTTACAGCATTGTTTTGTTTCCTTTTTGTGTTGTTTTATGGCCTATCTACAATCTTCAACTAGAAAGTTTCATTTAAATGAAATTTATATCATGGGCAATTTACACACAAAGATAAAATTCAAATTAAAAAGTTTGATTTGTACAATTAAAATGTCACAGCAATGATTTTACTTTTAACAAGATGTAAACTGCACTTAACAAAAACTTGTACAGAAACAAAACATATCTTGTCTGACCCGGTCTTGTCCTTTACTGGATGACTCCTATAAACAAAGGTTTGTGAGAATTCCTGATTAAAACATGATGTGCATTACATATGTCACATCCTCCTGTATATCAACTTCAGTGTCACGGTCCGTCCCCAGGGAACTTGTACTCACTCACCACAACACACTCAGACAAAGCCTGTCAGAGTTATCTACCCCTTGATCACTTTGACAATAAATGGGATATAGCTAGAGTTATCCCCCCTACATTAAACACATGCACAATGTATCACCTGTTTACATTTGTGATATCTACTACACACACTGGAACAAATCACATGGTTCTTTCTTCCAACAACTTATAGAAATAATAAACAAAATGTTGTCTATAGCTTCATTATGGCTGAAAAAAACATCAATTTATCGCTCAGCGATCCAGTACCAGTAGTATAAAACAAGTACTTACCCATAAGGGTGGACCAGCGTGGCTAGTGTGTTCCTATTGAGGGCGTTGTCTCGGGACACTTTCATTATATCTCCAAGGGACCCAGCTGTCAGAGAGATACAAATAAAGTCAGGTCATTGCTTCATAGAAAATCAGAATAAATATCAATTTATGGCTACAGAGACAATCTTATCACAAATTGATCCGCATAGAAGTCTTTTCAAAGAAACAAAAATGTATCAAAAGTATTTTAAAGAATAAGGATAAATAATAATAGAAAACTGGCTTAGACTTCACAAATGATAATAAAGTGTTTCTACTTAAAAGTTTTACAGTGTCAATGTTATGGAGATGTTAAGTGAAGAACAATGTCAGCTAGCTAAGGTCTAACTTGTTACAATTTACATTTATTTTTATTTGTTCATTTAATAAATGTTAATACTTTCACATTAAAGCGATCATTCTTACCCAAGGAATAAGTAAACCACTCCAATCATATTTTACATTTGAACATAAACTGTTGCTAATGTTACCCGTGTCTGGTACGTGTCAAATGAAAATACATTATAAATGCAGTACACATATCCATTACTTTATTTACATGTAATTAACATTTTCCAACTTTGACTGAAATAATTTACCTCTGCGTCGCAGACGGACTTCCTGTACATTGTCGCTAGGAAACCACCCTTCTTGACCATTCATGTTGCGTCCCTCCCAGTAACCCTGGTCACTCACACCGGTCACTGGAAACGTAAACACTTAAATGTCAGAAGTAGGTCACACAATATGATCCATAAAAATCCTAAACATCCAAATTAAGGCCCTCACCCAAAGTGGGATATCAGCTTTCTCATTTTATTTCCACACCTGAATATACCTGGTACAGTCTATTGTATCTAACATCAGCCGACGATTAATGTAGACAGAGATGTTATTTATAACAGAAACAGTGAGGACAAAGTTTTTTGTTATGTAATCATAGTAATATATACCAGGTCTTCAGATTTCACTTCAATGACAAGACAAATTGCTTACTGATAACACTGCACTACCTAATGACATAAGAAGTCTACATAAATCATTACAGTCCTCCGAAAACCAGGTGAATGTCAAACGTTTCTCATTACACTGCATCTGTTTCAAGTTTGGATACCTTGTAAACAACTTAATATATATCTGGTGCCAGGTTGTTAATTATAAAATAACCTGAGCTCATATTCATGAAACCATTTTAATGCTCAAACTCAGATTTTGTGCTGAAGCCTTATATTTTGTTACGGTGATAAATTGATAAAAATGTGATTTGTTTGGACAAAAACTTTGAGAGACTGAAAGCAGAAGACCGTTTTCGAAAACTAACACTTTATTTTGTGACCATGTTACACGAGTTTACAAAATAAAATGTTAATTCAACCACAGAATCCATGCTAGTGCATGAGAACGGTTTCATGAATACAGGGCCTGATATATCACAAACAATGAATTGAATACCAATTTAGTATGGGTATAAAAAAACTAGTTTTTAACAAAAATTGATGTCATTACTTAAAATCTTTAACTCTGAATTCGTAGAACAAATAAATAAATGGAAAAAGTTCAGTTGTAGTAATAATATTAAACACAGAAAGAAAATTCGGTAAACGCTGAATATTAAACCTACATTACCTTCATGGTACATGTATTGTTAATATGAAGTATGAATGACCCTTTAGCAGTCACCTGTTTCTGTTACAGTTAAAACTTCACCATATCACAAGGTTATTAATGTTGAGGTCAATTAACCAGAAAATAAAAACTTGACAACCTTCTAAACGAGCTGGGCGACACCACCCAGACATGATGTCATTAGTAAGTAAGAACATGCTACGTTATGTATACAGTATCACTGTAAATAGACTGCTGATCCCAGTCCACTGACGACAGGCTTAAAGCTCTGTTTATCAGTCCACTGACGACAGGCTTAAAGCTCTGTTTATCAGTCCACTGACGACAGGCTTAAAGCTCTGTTTATCAGTCCACTGACGACAGGCTTAAAGCTCTGTTTATCAGTCCACTGACGACAGGCTTAAAGCTCTGTTTATCAGTCCACTGACGACAGGCTTAAAGCTCTGTTTATCAGTCCACTGACGACAGGCTTAAAGCTCTGTTTATCAGTCCACTGACGACAGGCTTAAAGCTCTGTTTATCAGTCCACTGACGACAGGCTTAAAGCTCTGTTTATCAGTCCACTGACGACAGGCTTAAAGCTCTGTTTATCAGTCCACTGACGACAGGCTTAAAGCTCTGTTTATCAGTCCACTGACGACAGGCTTAAAGCTCTGTTTATCAGTCCACTGACGACAGGCTTAAAGCTCTGTTTATCAGTCCACTGACGACAGGCTTAAAGCTCTGTTTATCAGTCCACTGACGACAGGCTTAAAGCTCTGTTTATCAGTCCACTGACGACAGGCTTAAAGCTCTGTTTATCAGTCCACTGACGACAGGCTTAAAGCTCTGTTTATCAGTCCACTGACGACAGGCTTAAAGCTCTGTTTATCAGTCCACTGACGACAGGCTTAAAGCTCTGTTTATCAGTCCACTGACGACAGGCTTAAAGCTCTGTTTATCAGTCCACTGACGACAGGCTTAAAGCTCTGTTTATCAGTCCACTGACAGGCTTAAAGCTCTGTTTATTTATTTATTTATTTTTTATTTATTTTTTATTTTATTTTTTTGAGCAAAGTGTGTGGGGACAAATAGTTTGTTCTTTTTTGTATAGTTTCAAAAAAAATCTAAATTGATAAATAGTTAAATAGATTAATGCAAATCCAAAATTCTATTACATAATATCTACTTTTGTTTTCTTACTTTCAAAACAATTATAAACAAATAGCAAAGACAAAACAAAATTTTAACAAATTGTCACTAAATTATATTAGCCTTGTGTTTTTTTAGTACCCAGACATGGTACTGTTAGAAGGCAGAGCATTAATTAATACTGCGAGTATAACCTTGTAGAACTGCTGTTGGTCTTTCTGTGGAACTGAGCAATGTCAGCCTACAGTAACAGTGTCAATGTTAGCATTGTCAATAATGTTAGTATATCTAAGGGGAAATGGTTGCTGTAGTGTTAACTAAAATCATCATTTATTATTTATCAAAGTACATATGATATACATAATTTTCACTAGCAAGTCATGGCTAACTGAAGCATAAACATCATACATAATTTACATGACAAGACATTAATAAAAATTCCCAAATATTAATTTGATATTTTCAATTTACCAACTTTCTTTAACCAATTCTCAAAAAAATAATAGCAAAATGCTACTTAAATATCATATCCGCATATAAACAGATAGACTACATCAATACATAGTCTCTCCTTAATTGTTTTTCAGTGTAATTATTTAATCCGTTTCATCCTTGTAATTTGAACAAACTGAAAACAAATGTTGATAAGATTAATATCTAGCTGCAGGTATAATAGCATTATATAAGAGTTTATACATTTATACAGTAAATTATACATAGAATCAGGTGACAGTGTTTCAATGAACTGAAATATTGTGATGAAATATATAAAATAGTGAAGAAAGTCATCCAATTGAAATAAGTGATAGAGTTCCCATCTGTATTGCTGAGGTGATGTGTGAATGGAGTTGTCTCCCCTGATGATGAATATGGACATAGATGGCAATCTGCCAGAGTGAATTATGTATGACAACAAACAGAAAGATATTGAACTGACTTAGCATTAAATGATGGACAAGAAACAAAATGCCTTCCCCAAAAGATATGATGTGATGAAATTCCAAAAACATTTTGAAAACCTGTCAAACCTGGAACGTACACGTGTGTAATTGCAGTTTTCTGAGGAACACTACATAACCCTGTAGACGTAGTATTAGTGTGGCTGGTCATGGCTGGTTATACGTATACAAAACACTGTCATATCAAACATGATGCTAAATATAGAAATCAAAAGTAGCAGTCAGAAGTCTGATTAAAGTCAACTGTTTATAAAGGTGAATATTTCTCTGTGTATAATGTGTTAAGGATTAGGTCATGTTAATTCCTCATCGTATACCTGCATGCCAGGAGCATGGTAACAAAAAAATAGTACGGAGCCAGTTATATCCATGCGTGTGAATATTGTCAATGATAATAAAACTGAAATAACTAAACAGATCAAAATGAAATAAAGGACACATGCTGAAAAAGGAACGCAATGCAAACGCAATGCAAAATATAAAATGTAGACCTTCAACGATTTCTCCCTTGATGAGGGTCAGCTCTACTGGGTTGGTAGCCTCGTAGGACTGGACACACACATGGAGACTTTCAGGGGTGGTAAGGTTGAGAATGGGACCCTGAGGGCGGGGCTCCTGGTACATGGGGAGGGCTGACAAACTGACCACGTTTCTCCCCCTACTTTTGTTCGGGACAGTCATTTTGCTGTGTTGTATGTTCATTGACTGTACAGACTGGTGTGAGACAGCAGCTGGAGTGCTCCTTTCCTCTTGATTATAGTTTTCAGTGGCACCATTGATCTGAATAGTGGAGCCACTTGATATTGTGGCATCACTGCCACTTGATATAGTGGCCCCAACACTGCCACTTGAAGAGGAGGGACTTGGATGGTTGTAGATTGTGGCACTGTGGTTACTTAGCAGGGACAGCCTACTAGGCCGTCTGGTACAGTGTCTATGTGTGTCCTCCATCTGTCTGTCCAAAACTAAGTCAGCAGAGTGTACACTGTGCTCGTACATCATCTCTGCCTGCAGTGATGGACGTCTGACCACACCCAGGCCACGTGGCGATGTATAGTGGCTGTACATACTATGGCGATACGGTCGGCCCTCTAGTGGCACATTAAGGCGGTGGCATTTGTGGCAAATGGCCAATGGATCCCTGTGGTTGTGGAGGTCCACTGATGATGGGTTGAGCATTGTGGGGCTAGTCACATGTTGTACCATACTGTGACTGCGCTGAGGCACTTTGGAGAATCTGCTGTTTTGGGGGAGGGGGTTCTGTAGTACCGACCCGTACGACAGTGAGGAGGGGCGAAAGTCACTCGGGCCATATTCAGGCGTACCTGCGTTGAGGAAGCAATACATGTCTCACCCTGACAAGAAATAGTCGCAACATACAAAACATCCTGGTTTGTTGAACTGATAACATAAATACTTGGTTTATTGAGTGAGAAAGAAAACAAATAACATGATAACTTGGCTTACAGCAAAAGGGATTTAAAGCAAGAAACTACCCTACATAGCTTTTATCTTGGTAAGTGCTAAGTCCTTGTTTGCGTAAAAATAATACTAGTGTGTGCTGTGTTGAGTTAACAGTTTCAAGATTCTGGGGAGTATGTGTTACTTCCCTGGAAATGATTAATGATTATGTTTGATTCATGGATACGTGAAAATAACAGTTTACAGTACATAGAGAAGCAGCAAGTTTTAGACTCTTTTCACCCTGAAAGCGTTGATTATCTACGTTACAGTAAAGCTGACTAAAAGCTAATGCTTGTGACCTTTACCTTCGACCTCTTGACCTGATGCCATGGAAACATCTTTGGACACCGCTGCTTTATGTTTGCCTGAATTACACACCATGACAACATTTCAACAGCTCACATTTACCTCATACTAATGTAGGAACTAGAGGTTTGATTTAACGTCTATTAACAGCGAAGGTCACTTAAGGACGTGCCTCCATGTGTGTAGTGTATGCGTGCTTGCGTGTGTGTAGTGTATGCGTGCTTGCGTGTGTGTATGCAGGAGACAGGGTATGTTGGTGATGCAGGAACTAGAGGTTTGGTTTAACGTCCTATTAACAGCGAAGGTCACTTAAGGACGTGCCTCCATGTGTGTAGTGTATGCGTGCTTGCGTGTGTGTAGTGTATGCATGCTTGCATGTGTGTAGTGTATATGTGCTTGCGTGTGTGTATCCAGGAGACAGGGTATGTTGGTGATGCAGGAACTAGAGGCATTCCAGTAAAATGGTAACTATGATAAAGACAGCAGTGCACTGCCACCTGGAGAACCCAGCACACAACCAGTGAGCTGTAAGGATCTTACAGGACTGGCTAGGGTATCATACTAACATACCTTCATTTCTACCTATCACCAAACATTACTCACCACCTCTACACACAAACTAATGTCTACTGGTAAGATTATACACACAAGTTCCCCTCTCACAATAACTTCAGTCTACATACCTTATTATATAGTTAATTATTTTGTTGGGAATTTCTATTGACTATCATTTTCTAAAATAAAAACAACGCAATAGAACTATTTTACCTATGGTTGGCTACTAAGATTTACTGATAAGAAAGCTTACCCATGCCTGAGCTGGCACTGGACACTGACATTGAGCATGGAGAGTCCGTCTCATAGCCACCAGACGGTGTGTCCGGGTGGTTGTTGTTTAGGTACGCCAAGTTATGCATAGACGCGAAAGTCGTCATGTACTTATCATCCATCATAGAGATTGCATTGATTCGTGGGTCACTACGACTACGAGACATCCCATATATGGACTGTAATGCTGGATTGTCACGGCGACGGTTACTATATCGTGGCATCTCACGAATCGGAACTGAAAAGATCAACAGAAAATGTTATTGTGACGTAATTTACCTTCAACTAGCACCAGCAGCATGTCATATTCGGTGATAGGAAGTTTTTACATTAATTAACCTGTGTTGTCTCACCGATCATCCCCAGCGTTTTAAACAACTTTACTGCTAATTCAAGCTATAAGAGAATGGGTTCTTTATTTAACTTTGCAGTAAAAATGATGTCAAATTGAAAGTGGCTAAACAATCAGATATTCACACAAGTCAGATACTGCAGATAAGTATGATCATGTCATGTGACTTTTAGATTCATAATTCAGAAAAGTATGATCAAAGTGTTTCTACTATCTCTATAATTACTGACCGACATCCTCAGTGCGGTGCTGCTCCAGCATCAGGATCAGGTCGTGACTCTGAGCAATGATGGCCGCCTGGTAAGGCGTCTGGTGGTTCAGGTTGACAATGTCCTTGCTAGCACCTCGAAACAACAGCACACGCGCACAGGACTCCTGGGGATAACAATTGACAGTCAGAAATTACACTAAACTTTATAAGTCTGTAGGGCAAGAACAGTTTTTGCAGTAGGACATATTCAGTGTTAAATTGAAAATTGCACATTTCCAACCATTGCTACTAAAACAGCAACAATTGTCATTTATTTGTTTTGGGTTTTAACGTCCTTGCAACAGCTAGGTCCATATGAGGATGGGGCCTAGGGAGACAACAGCTAGGTCCATATGATGATGGGACCTAGGGAGACAACAGCTAGGTCCATATGAGGAGGGGACCTAGGGAGACAACAGCTAGGTCCATATGAGGATGGGTCCTAGGGAGACAACAGCTAGGTCCATATGAGGAAGGGGCCTAGGGAGACAACAGCTAGGTCCATATGAGGATGGGGCCTAGGGAGACAACAGCAAGGTCCATATGAGGATGGGGCCTAGGGAGACAACAGCTAGGTCTATATGAGGATGGGGCCTAGGGAGACAACAGCTAGGTCCATATGAGGATGGGGCTTAGGGAGACATCGGCAGGCAGAGAAAGTAGAAATAAAAGAAAGACGATAGGAAGATAGGAAACAAAAAAAGTCCCAAGTGTTGCAATGGGGGCACCGTCCATTAGTAGATGACACAGAAGAAAAACCCCGATTCTGCAGGGGCCCCCACATGTGTAGCCTTTTACGATACACATGGGGCCTTGTCCGTTTTTGCGGAACAACTGGTTGTCTGTTTTTAAATGTAACAATTAAACAAAAAAAGCCCATGGAAAGTAATGAAATGTTCCAATTATTGTTAAAGTCGTATAGTGAACCCCCTGATTTATCTCTGGAGACAAGATGATCTTACCTGATTAATCTCTGGACACAACTAGATCTTACCTGATTTATCTCTGGAGACAACTAGATCTTACCTGATTAATCCCTCGAGACAACTAGATCTTACCTGATAAATCCCTCGAGACAACTAGATCTTACCTGATGAATCCCTCGAGACAACTAGATCTTACCTGGTTGTTTATTGCACACACATGGAGCGCTGTGTTACCATTGGCATTCTGGATGTCCATGTCTGCTCCGTACGACAATAGGTACTCCAGGTGTTGGACCAGACCATTGTGACATGCCTGTAATATTACAATAGTTTACCAATTCAAATATTACCGCCCAAGGCCAATCATTAGATCATGTGTTCTTCTTAATTTAATTCAAGATTCTGCATCAAAAACACATACAGAAGCACAACTCTCACAAATAAATCCATGCACAAGTATACCTCTGTTGTTTATAGTGTATATTATATTATGATTGACCATATATGTAAGACAAGTCTTTGATGTAATATGTTATCAAGTAAAAATAAATACCATTACTTTTAACCTCCAAAAAACACATCTCATTACACTTGTACCTTCCACAAGATAAAGTGGAGAGATCTAGAGACAATGTGAGGACAGATAAACAGGATAAAGTGGAGAGATAAACAGACAATGTGAGGACAGATAAACAGGATAAAGTGGAGAGCTCTACAGACAATGTGAGGACAGATAACCAGGATAAAGTGGAGAGATCTACAGACAATGTGAGGACACATAAACAGGATAAAGTGGAGAGATCTACAGACAATGTGAGGACAGATAACCAGGATAAAGTGGAGAGATCTACAGACAACGTGAGGACAGATAAACAGGATGAAGTGGAGAGATCTAGAGACAATGTGAGGACAGATAAACAGGATAAAGTGGAGAGCTCTACAGACAATGTGAGGACAGATAACCAGGATAAAGTGGAGAGATCTACAGACAATGTGAGGACAGATAAACAGGATAAAGTGGAGAGATCTACAGACATGGTGAGGACAGATAAACAGAATAAAGTGGAGAGATAAACAGACAATGTGAGGACAGATAAACAGGATAAAGTGGAGAGATCTACAAACAATGTGAGGACAGATAAACAGGATAAAGTGAAGAGATCTACAAACAATGTGAGGACAGATAAACAGGATAAAGTGGAGAGATAAACAGACAATGTGAGGACAGATAAACAGGATAAAGGGGAGAGATCTACAGACAATGTGAGGACAGATAACCAGAATCAAGTGGAGAGATTTAGAGACAATGTGAGGACAGATAAACAGGATAAAGCGGAGAGATCTACAGACAATGTGAGGACAGATAAACAGGGTGAAGTGGAGAGATCTACAGACAATGTGAGGACAGATAACCAGGGTAAAGTGGAGAGATCTACAGACAATGTGAGGACACATAAACAGGATAAAGTGGAGAGATCTACAGACAATGTGAGGACCGATAAACAGGATAAAGTGGAGAGATCTACAGACAATGTGAGTACAGATAAACAGGATAAAGGGGAGAGATCTACAGACAATGTGAGGACAGATAACCAGGGTAAAGTGGAGAGATCTACAGACAATGTGAGGACCGATAAACAGGATAAAGTGGAGAGATCTACAGACATGGTGAGGACAGATAAACAGGATGAAGTGGAGAGATCTACAGACAATGTGAGGACAGATAAACAGAATCAAGTGGAGAGATTTAGAGACAATGTGAGGACAGATAAACAGGATGACTGTGAGAGCCCCACCTGATGTATCTCCATCCAACCCTGCTCATCAGTGGCACCAATGACCGCCTTCTCCATCAGCAGCATCTCCACACACACAGGGTTACAGGAGTGGGCAGCACAGTGGTACAGCGGGGTCAGGCCCCGGGCATCCTTCAGGTTAGGGGACGCCCCTAGGTCTAACAGGGTCTGAAAACAATACACGAAACACTAGTATGTGAGGACTTCAGTTCACTGCTTACATGTATTTCAATCTCAGGTCAAGAACTGATCTGTATTACAATCCACTGAAAGTTAAAAAGTGTTATCAAAAGAAAAGACAATATTTGCTACTTACGCGAATAAAATTGTGAAAACTCATAGTAAACATCCAAAGTTATAAAGTCACCAGCATGTCAGTACGCCGGGAATGACTCAGCCTCACTCTGGACAGCAGAAGCTGTAGGTAATGGCTGGTCGCCAATCACGTGTACAAACAGCCCTGGTGTCATCTCCACACTATTATATGTGATTCAGCATGTATTTACAGGAAAGCATGGTATTCAATTTATCACCTGTCAGACCAGGCTAGTGTCAACAGGGGGAGGACTTACTACATCACCTGTGCTCATTACAGTACTGACACACAGAGTAAAGATGTACCCCTCTACCTACCTTGACAGCCTCTGTGTTGCCGGCCACAACAGCCCGGTGTAGCGGGGTAAGGCCTTTCTTGGTGCGGTAGTCGAGGTGTGCCCCACCGCCTACTAGACTGATGATCAGCTCCCGACACTTTTGTTTCGTCAGCATCATGGCCTGGCTCAAGGGTGTCTCTGTCCACAGGCAAAAAACGGAACACTTATCACTTGTTACCCAACATACAGTTTGTAAAGAGTCCCTGTTTCTAAATCTCTGCACCCTCTCATCTAACCCGATGTAATAACATGGTCAAGCCATTTAACAGACTCATTGGAGTCTCAATGGGAACATCACAATCTTACTACTGAGACTGTCAGCCAGCCTTATCCACAGTTCTGAACTGCTGTGACGTCCGGCTGTAAACAAGAATATCTTTCCTTTCACAATATGTTCCCCAGTTGGATTGCTTCCCCTCAAGACTTAACCAGGTACTTACTGTAAGTATCAGAGGGATTTAGCAAATATGCAACCTTTTGTTCAATTTACAAATGGTTGAAATTGTCATTCTGCTCAATAAAATATAACAGGAACAAACTTTTCTTGTTTCACTGTAATAATGACAATATGTTAAACTTATATGAACTATATTAAATCTGAGCGTGACTTACCCCCCGTACTGGAGTCGTGGAAGTTTGACTTACCCCCGTACTGGAGTCGTGGAAGTTTGACTTACCCCCGTACTGGAGTCGTGGAAGTTTGACTTACCCCCGTACTGGAGTCGTGGAAGTTTGACTTACCCCCGTACTGGAGTCGTGGAAGTTTGACTTACCCCCGTACTGGAGTCGTGGAAGTTTGACTTACCCCCGTACTGGAGTCGTGGAAGTTTGACTTACCCCCGTACTGGAGTCGTGGAAGTTTGACTTACCCCCGTACTGGAGTCGTGGAAGTTTGACTTACCCCCGTACTGGAGTCGTGGAAGTTTGACTTACCCCCGTACTGGAGTCGTGGAAGTTTGACTTACCCCCGTACTGGAGTCGTGGAAGTTTGACTTACCCCCGTACTGGAGTCGTGGAAGTTTGACTTACCCCCCGTACTGGAGTCGTGGAAGTTTGGGTCTAGTCCCTTGTTGGCCAGTTTGGTCACCTTCTCAACATTACAGTTCTTCACATAGTCAATGAAGTGCTTAAAGTTACCCTGTGGATCAAAACACAAATAATAGTTACCCTGTGGATCAAAACACAAATAATAGTTACCATGTGGATCAAAACACAAATAATAGTTACCCTGTGGATCAAAACACAAATAATAGTTTCCCTGTGGATCAAAACACAAATAATAGTTACCCTGTGGATCAAAACACAAATAATAGTTACCCTGTGGATCAAAACACAAATAATAGTTACCCTGTGGATCAAAACACAAATAATAGTTTCCCTGTGGATCAAAACACAAATAATAGTTTCCCTGTGGATCAAAACACAAATAATAGTTTCCTGCTGATCAAAACACAAATAATAGTTTCCTGCTGATCAAAACACAAATAATAGTTTCCTGCTGATCAAAACTTTACATTAACAAACTCTGTACACACTCAAAGAGTAAACAAATTCTGTACACACTCAAAGAGTAAACAAACTCTGTATACACTCAAAGAGTAAACAAACTCTGTACACACTCAAAGAGTAAACAAAATCTGTACACACTCAAAGAGTAAACAAACTCTGTACACACTCAAAGAGTTAACAAACTCTGTACACACTCAAAGAGTTAACAAACTCTGCACACACTCAAAGAGTAAACAAACTCTGTATACACTCAAAGAGTAAACAAACTCTGTACACACTCAAAGAGTAAACAAACTCTGTACACACTAAAAGAGTAAACAAACTCTGTACACACTCAAAGAGTTAACAAACTCTGCACACACTCAAAGAGTTATCAAACTCTGTACACACTCAAAGAGTAAACAAACTCTGTACACACTCAAAGAGTAAACGAACTCTAAATAACTGAGTATACTTTATATCAAAAAAACAGAAAAAAGATAATGCTTTAACAGTAATTATAGTTCCTCAAATGACCACTAAACTCTAAACAGATGAAGTCATCTAACATCACTACATGTACTATATACCAGCCTCTACTAGGTAGCCAGGAAGTCATCTAAACATCACTATATGTACTATATACCACCCTCTACTAGGTAGCCAGGAAGTCATCATAACATCACTACATGTACTATATACCAGCCTCTACTAGGTAGCCAGGAAGTCATCTAAACATCACTATATGTACTATATACCA